TGGCTCAATCTCGTTCATTAAGGAAGATGATGCTCCACAGAAAGTCCCACCCAGCAAACTCCTGCTTAAATCTCATTGGCCAGAACGGGCCACATGTCTACATCAAACCGATCACTTACCAAGGTGACTCGCACTACCCTGGCTTGTTTAAATCAATCAAGTGTGAAGATCAAAGAATTATTGACCACGCCTGAATAAACCGGGAGTCATTTAGCAGCGAAGAAAGGGGCTTCTGAATGCTGGGCAGGCAACAGACTGGTTTTGTGGGGTGTTTTTTTTTTTAAGCATATTTGTGGGGTGGTGTTGTTATGTGTTCTATATTTCCAATACAATCACAATTTCCATCCTGGGCTAAAAAGCGTTACTTTCCCAGCAGAATAAAATGTGCAACCTTTATTGCTCATCAAATCCCAACTGTGTTTGGTTTCCTTCCCAATTCTTATTCATGGAAAGAAAAAAAGTGGCCAGATTTTGAGATTAAAATGATCCCATACTTTTTTTTTTTTAGTTCTGTGCTCATTTAAACTATTTATAAATGATTGCCTTCAGTTACAATGAACAGATGCCTCTCCTGAGCTTTACTGGGCTCACCCACTCTTATCAAAGAGCAGTGAGACAGATTGCTCGCCTGGACGTCCGCTGCTAGCCGTTTAACTGAGGCTTCTCAGACGGCAGCCTCATAAGCCAGTGCTGCACGAAGGTATTTAATGTCATTTATAAAAATCCGGTAACATAAACGGTTGGCTCCTTATTAAGACACAGAACTATCATGAGTGCACATTCTTAAACCTTTGATCTTGACGTCTGCACCGTGGTTCTTGCCAGAAGGGCAACTTGTTCCACGGAGAGCAGAAGAAAAAAATCAAACAAAAACAAAACAAAAAACCCAAGTCTTTGGAGGAGTTGCTGAGCCTCTTCTGAGGCATCCCCGTACCTCTTTCGTGCCTGTCTGTTTCTCCCTTTGTTTGTAAAAGATCCAAATCGAGATCTAGTTGTGCTCCAAAGACAAGCCAAGAGTAAAGAGTGTGCTGTTCCGGTCAAGGTCAAGGCCAGCCCTCTTGCAGAAGGGCTGCTCCCCAAGGAAACGAGACTCAGGATTGATCATTTTGAAGTGGGATAAATCAAACTGGTGATGCATGTGAGCGCTGAGCACACTGGGGAAAGATGCATAGAGAGGCCCCATCACTCAAGCATCGGTGAGTGATGGGGCCTCTCTATACAACTCAAGACGTTGCCCACGTTCACACCCAAGTGCAGGCACCTTTTACCCTGACCATGCAATAGAGCAGCCAGACAGATGGAGGGTGCAGGACACAGCAGGTAGCCTGGGAGAGGTGAGGTGAGTCCCTAAACCAATCCTGTGACTGCTGTTACGTGGGAAATCCTGGGCCTCACATCAGACTGTTTTGCCCACTAATTTCTCTATCTCAAATGGGACTCTTTTTAAAAAAAATCATTTTATTAGGGGTTCATACAACTCTTATCACAATCCATACATCCATCAATTGTGTCAAGCACATTCATACATATGTTGCATCATCATTCTCCAAAACCTGCTTTCTACTTGAACCCTTGATATCACCTCCTCATTTTTCCCCTCCCTCCCCACTTCCCTCTCCCCGCTGAACCCTTGATAATTTATAAATTATTATTATTTTGTCATATCATACACCATCCAACGTCTCCCTCACCCATTTCTCCGCTGTCCGTCCCCCAGGGAGGAGGTTATATGTGGACCTTGTAATCTATTCCCCCTTTCTACCCTACCTTCCCTCCACACTCCTGACATCGCCACTCTCTCCACTGGTCCTGGGGGGTTCATCTGTCCTGCATTCCCTGTATTTCCAGTTTCTATCTGTGCCAGTGCACATCCTCCG